ATCAATCTGGTTTCTTGTCTGGACCATTGCACAACTCACACACACACAGAGACACTCTTAATTTAGGTCTTGTTCGGTATGCCTATGCGTGTGATTAACTCCTTTAACTACATTCCATTGGTAATATAAAGACTTTTAATGAAGTAAAATCAACAACTAATACAATGTGAAGAATTATATAGGTTATATATACACACGAATCTGATTCGTCTATATGTCTTGTGTATATATTTTCTTATTTAGTTGTGCAAACATATACTAGTTACAAACATTAGTCTATATCACTTCCTTAGAATCTAGGCTTATAATAGTTATAGCTTGTTCCAAGCTAAGTTTAAAATATATTTTGAGAGGTGTATATTTGTGGAGCTTTAGTTTATTGGTAGAATGTCACAATAAAATTAAACAGACTTTAGTTTAAGCTTTTCATGAATGATAGTACCGTCTATTTTTTTCTTCTAAATAGAGCCTTTGTGAAATTTTAGGTATTTCAACACATTGTCTATTACTGTATATATGTTTCTTATAGCAAACTGAGAAGTGAGCCTATCTATATAGTATATATACGAGCATAAACGCATGCAGGAATGAACATGAAACATGTGGTCTATACTCATATGAACATGAAACATTTGGTCTATACTCATATTGGCGAATCTAGAGCTTTAGCAAGAGGTGCATCTGCCCACTATGATCATGATTTTTTTGTTTTTTCTTAATTTTCTTTAAGTAATTAAAATTTATTGGTGAAATGCCCCTTATAATTATGTAAGAATGAGTTAATTACCCCCATGAAAAAAGTTTTTGCATTCGCCACTGCTCATAGAGTAACAGTTTGTTCTAACATGTAAATTATAACAAAAATAAAGACATTATTTCACCATATCTTATAAGTGTTCTATTTGCGTGTATAATATGCGTATATGTGTATGCATCGATTTGCTACTTTTGTGAGGAATCTTAAGTTTTTTTTTTTTTTTGGTATGAAAGGAAATCTTAACTTGAAAAAGAGATATAAATCTATAGATCTTTTACCCAAAACAAAACAATTAAAGTTCGTTAAACTAAGCAAAACCAGGAGCATGTCAGCTAAAGTTAATAGGCTATACATACCATAGCTGTGAAATAAAGCCATCGAAATCAGCGAGGGCTATTTACCTATAGATCACATAATGTAATCATATAATTGCCTATATATTGCAGATGATATATTATTAGCCTGAGCTACGAATAATGATAACGATCATATGTCCATGAGGCATGAGCTACGATTTAAAC